ATCATCATCTTAAAACAATTCCATATGTCAGCTTAGAACCCCCCTCCCCCCCTTCAATTACACTATAACGCTGAATTTCCGGGATACGGATTAAATAGAGACCTTAAAGGCAATATTCCAGAGTTATAGGAGACTGCATTCACGGTAAACGCTGTATATGTCGGCTCAGTTTGAAATTACCTTTAATTTATATTGTGCAATCTCTAACGTTTCAGCAATGCAGATTGAATAGAGTGCTAAGTCGCAAAAATACAGACTATGACTTCAGATCTGACTCAGATTCGTGCTTGATGACCCTGACATCAATATTTCTGAGATTGAATTAAAATGTTAGTGTCCTAATACTGTTCAGTTGATTCAATCCAAAGTCCAATAACTAAGGTTAACTAACTACATGTAACTAATCAACTACAGGAATTCTCTGTAGAACTCTCTCTACTTGAATCTGCTGTCGCAGCACCAGGATCTGCATCAAAGAAACGTGTTTCATGCCAAAGTCCCCTATAGCTCAGTTGGTAGAGCATGGCGCTTGCAACGCCAGGGTTGTGGGTTCGTTTCCCACGGGGGGCCAGTATGAAAATGTATGCACTCACTAACTGTAAGTCGCTCTGGATAAGAGCGTCTGCTAAATGACTAAAATGTAATTGCTACAGACTGATGTGACCGTTTTAGCAACCTGGAAAATGTCTTGTCTGTGGAGAAACTGGGACTCTACTTAGGGGGTTAGAGAAAAAAAGTCATAAATTCCCTGCTTGTGGTGTGTGAGCCATTGAGCTGCCAAACAACAACAAGCATCATGAAAACTTCTAGAAGCATATGTCCCAGGTTGATCAGAGCAGATGGAGGAGGGCGAAGAAATGAGGGTGCAGAGACTAATGTAAGAAAAGTTATTTATGGAGACTTTTACACTGAACAAAAAGTAAACAGTGAGAGAGTAATGAATGTGCAGCGATGGGTCAGCTGTGGCAATAACTGGATTACTGAACCTACTCGATCAATCACAGTAACCAGGATCTGTCAAGCACATTGTTTTACACTGACAAATGTGGTTCAGATTCAACAAAACAATGTTTACCCATTTGAATCAATAAGAAACAGCATACTGATCTAAACATGCTTTCTCTCTGCATGGGAAGAATGCTATTTTTGATATATCCTGTAAAATCAGCCACCAGTTATGATTAAAAAGGGATCCAAGTCCTGATTAAAGAATAAATAAAACTCAATTTTGAGAAAAAAAACTTTTATTTCCACTGATCATACATTAAGCGTGCATATTAATCAAAATAAAAGCAGCAATGATCATGTAATTATAAATACATCTAGAAATAATAAGAATGTATCTGAGGATCCTAAATTCTAAAAACATAAGGCCTACACAATATCTTTATGCAAATTATAGTAAGGTTTGGCAATCATTTGGTTTTGGTATTTTTTCATAACAGTACAGTATCGTCATAGTTTTGTTAATTTGTTGCCATTTCAAAAACCGTACACCGTAAGTGCTATGTTTAGGAAATAAACAACACTTTTTTTTCTCCTCTATGCAGTGCTTTGAAATATGTTCAAAGCCTGAATGTGACAGAGAATAATGCAAAAAGATTTGTTAGGACTCCTTGACACATATATCCATACTCCCATGTTGAGTAAACATTTAGGATGGAATAAAGCCATGCCTTCCATCAAACTTTGAAGACAAGGAGCACATATAACTTCAATTATGATTCACATCCACACGCTAGCACACTCATACAAAACCCTTGGAAAAAAATGTACTTCAACATGGTCCCAAATTTAAATGTTAAAGCACACTTTTCAAGAAGCTGGAAATCTCACATAGATTAGTGTCCTGTATAAAAAGTATATTGGAAGAAGTCCTTATGAGACTAAGGTTGTCCCCAGGCAGTGTGGATCAGGGAACCAGGCAGTGATATACTCACATTACTGTGTTTAGCTTGGATTCACATCTAGACTTTCACTCATGAGGATAACCGTATTCAAATGTTACATACAATACTTCAAAATGTTTCTATCATACAATTCTTCACTCAATACAACAAAACACACTCACACTCGCCCACATGTACACACCTAGTAGTAATATTATTATTTTGACATGATATACAACAAATAGATTGAGATAATAAATATTAATATTAATCTTATTAACAAACTTCAACAGCTTTGTTAAACTGATCACCATTTCCTGAATAACATCTGACATTATGTTTTGGTCTCAGTGGCTGCTAATTCTAATGCAGTACCATGCCAACTGTAGTTATCCCACTAACTCCTATCACAAGTTCTTTTTAGACCCTGTTCAAAGATTTTTCAAACATCTTGACTATCTTGGCTTTTCAAAAAAGAAAATCATTTTCTAAAATTTCCACAAGACAAGCACATGACGTTGTTGAAAAAGAAGAGCGGGGTGGGATGGGGTGAGGGTAGTAGTCACTGTTCAGGGCAGAGGCTGAGAACCTTCATGGGAATGATTGTGCTTGGTAGGCATCAGGGGTTAGATAGTTGGTCAACCAGGAACCATGTTCAGACATGGGGAGAGGGAGGATCTGGGCCAGCTCTTCTGAGTCAGTGTGCATCACCTTCAAGACATTCAGACTGATTAACTAGGGTCATCCTCTATCTGAATGTAGAGATGCAGGAGAGGATCCGTGGGGCTAAAAGAGCTAAGGGTTCAGGATAGGCTATAAATAAAATAGGAGCATTCTCAGAAGAGTCAAGGGTCATTTCATATCCCTCGTTTGTGCACACAGCCTAGTTAGATAAAGCTATGCCTCAAGGCATGAGTCCTCCGAAAATATACACCAAGTCATTAGCTGGTCCCAGCACGCTTCCAAGAGAATGGCTAAGGCTGCCATCCACGTCATTGTAAATGGGATAAAAGTCATCAGAGTCAAGCATCCACAGTAGCAATAATAATAAACAATATAAATACTTTAAAATACTCAGAAAAGTACAGTGCCTTGCAAAAGTATTCATCCCCCATGGCGTTTTTCCTATTTTGTTGCATTACAACCTGTAATTAAAATTGATTTTTAATTGGATTTCATGTAATGGACATACACAAAATAGTCCAAATTGGTGAAGTGAAATGAAAAAAATAACTTGTTTCTAAAAAAAAAAATAACGGAAAAGTGGTGCGTGCATATGTATTTAACCCCTTTCCTATGAAGCCCCTAAATAAGATCTGGTGCAACCAATTACCTTCAGAAGTCACATAATTAGTTAGATCGCACACAGGTGGACTTTATTTAAGTGTCACACGATCTGTCACATGATCTCAGTATATATACACCTGTTCTGAAAGGCCCCAGAGTCTGCAACACCACTAAGCAAGGGGCACCATCAAGCAAGCGGCACCATGAAGACCAAGGAGCTCTCCAAACAGGTCAGGGACAAAGTTGTGGAGAAGTACAGATCAGGGTTGGGTTATAAAAAAATGTCAGAAACTTTGAACATCCCACGGAGCACCATTTAATCCATTATTAAAAAATTGAAAGAATATGGCACCACAACAAACCTGCCAAGAGAGGGCTGCCCACCAAAACTCACGGACCAGGCAAGGAGGGCATTAATCAGAGAGGCAACAAAGAGACCAAAGATAACCCTGAAGGCGCTGCAAAGCTCCACAGCGGAGATTGGAGTATCTGTCCATAGGACCACTTTAAGCCGTACACTCCACAGAGCTGGGCTTTACGGAAGAGTGGCCAGAAAAAAGCCATTGCTTAAAGAAAAAAATAAGCAAACACATTTGGTGTTTGAAAATGTATGCACTCACTAACTGTAAGTCGCTCTGGATAAGAGCGTCTGCTAAATTACTAAAATGTAAAATGTACACGTGTTCGCCAAAAGGCATGTGGGAGACTCCCCAAACATATGGAAGAAGGTTCTCTAGTTAGATGAGACTAAAATTGAGCTTTTTGGCCATCAAGGAAAACGCTATGTTTGGCGCAAACCCAACACCTCTCATCACCCCGAGAACACCATCCTCACAGTGAAGCATGGTGGTGGCAGCATCATGCCGTGGGGATGTTTTTCATCGGCAGGGACTGGGAAACTGGTCAGAATTGAAGGAATGATGGATGGCGCTAAATACAGGGAAATTCTTGAGGGAAACCTGTTTCAGTCTTCCAGAGATTTGAGAATGGGACGGAGGTTCACCTTCCAGCAGGACAATGACCCTAAGCATACTGCTAAAGCAACACTCAAGTGGTTTAAGGGGAAACATTTAAATGTCTTGGAATGGCCTAGTCAAAACACAGACCTCAATCCAATTGAGAATCTGTGGCATGACTTAAAGATTGCTGTACACCAGCGGAACCCATCCAACTTGAAGGAGCTGAAGCAGTTTTGCCTTGAAGAATGGGCAAAAATCCCAGTGGCTAGATGTGCCAAGCTTATAGAGACATACCCCAAGAGACTTGCAGCTGTAATTGCTGCAAAAGGTGCCTCTACAAAGTATTGACTTTGGGGGAGTGAATAGTTATGCACGCTCAAGTTTTCTGTTTTTTTTGTCTTATTTCTTGTTTGTCTCACAAAAATTTTTTTTTGCATCTTCAAAGTGGTAGACATGTTGTGTAAATCAAATGATACAAACCCCCCCAAAATCAATTTTAATTCCAGGTTGTAAGGCAACAAAATAGGAAAAATGCCAAGGGGGGTGAATACTTTCGCAAGCCACTGTACACCAAAATGAGAGGGATAGACATGTAAACAATAGGAGACAAGCTTTCTCCACTTTCTCTCTCTCTCGCTCTCTCTCTCTCTCTCTCGCTCCCTCTCGCTCCCTCTCCCTCTCGCTCTCTCTCTCTCTGTCTCGCTCCCTCTCCCTCTCGCTCTCTCTCTCTCTCTCAGAAGCCTGGCACGTGGCAGTAGGCCTCCAGGGAGGCCAGCATGATGTAGAGGAACCAGAGGGAGAAGAAGAAGAGGGAGGTGAGGAGTTTCGCTGTCCGTGGGCCCCCCAGTTCTCCCCCTGCCACGCCGGCCCGGCGGCGGTACATCAGCACCAGGACACACACAAACGCCATGATGGTGAACAGGGTGACGGAGAAGGCCAGCGAGCCAGTCTCTACAAGAAACTTCTTGCCCTTGGTCTTCCAGTAGACAGCCGCGATGGTCCATGCCACGCCGATGCCCAGGAACACGTTCACCGCATTACTGCCCGTTACGTTGCCGATGGAGGCATCAGCGTACTGGTCCTGGATGGCCGCCACTTTACTGGCAAAGGTGTCTGGGAGAACATTAAGTAAGTAGAAATAGACAGTTAGAAAACAGTAACTGATTCTGACAGAGACATGACACAGATACAGCCCAGAGAAAGAGTGACAGACAGAGAGAGTAGGCTACACAGAGATAGACAGGCACCCACCTGGAACGGAAGTCCCCAGAGCCACAAATACTACGGCAGTGACAGAGTCCTTGAGCCCTACTGTGCAGCCAAAATGAGAGGCCAGGTCCCCGGTCACAGCCGTCAGAACACCAATCAGGGAGATGGACACAAAGAAGCAGGCCCAGCCATTCCAGTACTCTGTGGGCGGGACAAAGGCGAACAGAACCTTCCAAAACACTGTGAGGAAGTGCATGATGTAGTCGAAACAGGATGGCAGGCGCTCCTCCCCACTCTCCTCCTCATCATCATCCCCTGGGGGAGAGAATGACAGAGGTGTTTACACATGCAGTACAAATCATTCTAATGAGATACAGCGTTTTATTCAACTTTTATGTGGTACAAAATTACAGTTACATTTTACATTTGAGTAATTTAGCAAGCAGACGCTCTTATCCAGAGCGACTTACAGTTAGTGCATTCATCCTAAGATAGTTAGGTGAGACAACAACATATCACAGTCATAGTAAGGCCATTTTTCCTCAATAAGGTACAGTAGTTATCAACAAAGTCAGTGCTAGTAGGAAAATAAAAGTGTGTGTTAAAAGTGTGAATGTTGGTGCAATTATATAGTTTCGAAATTCATTACCCTTTTATTGCTTTGCTTGGGATGAAGTTGAACTTGACACTGCTTCTTGCATCTATACATTTTCAAACAGCAACTTTGCATGTCTGTGACTTCATTACTGCTACCTCCCAAAGTAGAGAGTGTGATTTCTCTGACCTGAACACCACACTTCTAACTCTCCATTAATACAAGAGCATGCAGCGTTAGTGAGTCTGTCCCAGAGATTTAGGAGTGAAGGAGAGAGAGGCACTCACCTGCACTGACAGTGACAGCATTGACAAACTGCTCTCTCCAGCTACTGCTGCCCACCACCAGAGCAAGGTTAGTCTTCTTAATCAGCTTATCCACTGTGTTCTACACAAACACACAAACAAACAAAAAAGCAAGAAAATAAAAACAGATTTCAGCCTAGACTAGAGTTATCAATACATAGAATGGATAGAAGTGATGTCATATTTTGAGTGGAAGGGGTCAGGGTTGGTCTGATGTTTACGATTTGTGTGGTTTGTCATTTGTCAATGTCATCTCGCCCCGTTTGTTTTTCCTTTGGCAGAGGGCAATGACCCATCCGTCTTTCTCAGTGGCTCTACCGAGCGGGCGACCTGGCTGGCCTCTCTGTCCAGACTGTCTCCTCTCAGGAGGAGGAGGGAGGGCAGACCTCGACAGGAGTAACAAGACAGTGACCTCTCTCACTGGCGAAAGAAATGCTTTTAATAAATGTGACCCATTTCAGGAAGCTAGGCGTATGTCGCAAGTCACAGGAGAGGCAATTCGTTTTTTTTGGCAGAAATGCCTTCTGGAACATGTGAACCTTCATGTGCCTTAAAAACAAACTTGTATGTCATCTGTAAATATAAATAAAATTGTTAAATTACAAGCCTAGTTGGTTTAGCCATGGAAAAAGACAGGAACCTTCCCGCTAGCTATGATTGCCTGAGATAATGGATGGGCTGGACATGCCGAGAGATGAGTTCGGATTGGTCTGCCATGTAGCATGCTTCTGTCTATAACATGAGCTGCTCAGTGTGTGTAGATAATCATTGCTACTGCAGCTTTTTTGAAAGATATAACGTTAGCCATGGAGAACTGCAAAAGTGTTTCTACTGCTCTCAACAACATTACTGCCCTGAATTTAGCGATGGACTACTTTCTGCACACAGTCAGCATGAACCGGAGTGACTTGACACAATGCAGGCTAAACAAGCTGTACAAAAAAAAAGTTAAAGGGGTTCAAGTCTGCTGTGAAGCGTTCGTCCATGTATACGGGTAAGAGTCTAGCTACATTTTCAGATATTATACGTTTCTAATTTTGTCAGAAATGTGTTTTCATTGAAAGTTCAAGCGTACTGCTAGCTAACATTACATGTATGATCTGTGTAGTAATATTATTAGTGTCTCAGAAATCCATTTGCATTGCTAGTTATAACATATTGTAAGGCTAACTATCTAGATAACATTGAACCTAGTTGGTTAGCTACCTGCAGATTCATACTACAGCATTTCATGAATGGTGGCTAGCTATGACAATCTGTTTTGTATTGCTAGTAGTATGGGTTGGGATTATGGTTCATTGTTTAGCTAACTAGCTATGTTTAAAAAAAGACTCCACTTCGCCAGATGATAGATGATTACATGACCCCTCAAGTTAGCCAGGTGTGTCTGGGGGTGATTACAGCCATCTGTTGTATTTTATGAAAATGTCTAGAAAATAGTGACATTTCACATTTACATTTTAGTCATTTAGCAGACGATCTTATCCAGAGCGACATACAGTTAGTGAGTGCATACATTTTTTCATTTTTTCATACTGGCCCCCCGTGGGAATCAAACTCACAACCCTGGCGTTGCAAGCGCCATGATCTACCAACTGAGCTACATGGGACCCATCCACTTAGCTAGATGTGGCTGGGGGGTGGTTATAGCATTTATTTCACATGACCCCTCAATTTAGACAGGTGTCTGGGTAAGCATCATCTAATAATTATAAAATATTTATAAAATATTTTTATCTGGACACTTTCTATTTTTGATATTGCTACTAGGCAAATATGCAAGTAACCATTTCACTGTACCATTTACACCTTCTGTATTCTGTGCATGTGAAAAACAAACTTTGATTTTATTTGATATAGTGTGTGTTTACCAGAGACAGTAATGTGAAGAACAATATGACCTGCATCAAAGTCAGATTACGATATAGGCCAAGGACTATACAGTGGGGGAAAAAAGTATTTAGTCAGCCACCAATTGTGCAAGTTCTCCCACTTAAAAAGATGAGAGAGGCCTGTAATTTTCATCATAGGTACACATCAACTATGACAGACAAAATGAGAAAAAAAAATCCAGAAAATCACATTGTAGGATTTTTAATGAATTTATTTGCAAATTATGGTGGAAAATAAGTATTTGGTCAATAACAAAAGTTTCTCAATACTTTGTTATATACCCTTTGTTGGCAATGACACAGGTCAAACGTTTTCTGTAAGTCTTCACAAGGTTTTCACACACTGTTGCTGGTATTTTGGCCCATTCCTCCATGCAGATCTCCTCTAGAGCAGTGATGTTTTGGGGCTGTCGCTGGGCAACACAGACTTTCAACTCCCTCCAAAGATTTTCTATGGGATTGAGATCTGGAGACTGGCTAGGCCACTCCAGGACCTTGAAATGCTTCTTACGAAGCCACTCCTTTGTTGCCCGGGCGGTGTGTTTGGGATCATTGTCATGCTGAAAGACCCAGCCACGTTTCATCTTCAATGCCCTTGCTGATGGAAGGAGGTTTTCACTCAAAATCTCACGATACATGGTCCCATTCATTCTTTCCTTTACACGGATCAGTCGTCCTGGTCCCTTTGCAGAAAAACAGCCCCAAAGCATGATGTTTCCACCCCCATGCTTCACAGTAGGTATGGTGTTCTTTGGATGCAACTCAGCATTCTTTGTCCTCCAAACACGACGAGTTGAGTTTTTACCAAAAGTTATATTTTGGTTTCATCTGACCATATGACATTCTCCCAATCCTCTTCTGGATCATCCAAATGCACTCTAGCAAACTTCAGACGGGCCTGGACATGTACTGGCTTAAGCAGGGGGACACGTCTGGCACTGCAGGATTTGAGTCCCTGGCGGCGTAGTGTGTTACTGATGGTAGGCTTTGTTACTTTGGTCCCAGCTCTCTGCAGGTCATTCACTAGGTCCCCCCGTGTGGTTCTGGGATTTTTGCTCACCGTTCTTGTGATCATTTTGACCCCGCGGGGTGAGATCTTGCATGGAGCCCCAGATCGAGGGAGATTATCAGTGGTCTTGTATGTCTTCCATTTCCTAATAATTGCTCCCACAGTTGATTTCTTCAAACCAAGCTGCTTACCTATTGCAGATTCAGTCTTCCCAGCCTGGTGCAGGTCTACAATTTTGTTTCTGGTGTCCTTTGACAGCTCTTTGGTCTTGGCCATAGTGGAGTTTGGAGTGTGACTGTTTGAGGTTATGGACAGGTGTCTTTTATACTGATAACAAGTTCAAACAGGTGCCATTAATACAGGTAATGAGTGGAGGACAGAGGAGCCTCTTAAAGAAGAAGTTACAGGTCTGTGAGAGCCAGATATCTTGTTTGTTTGTAGGTAATATAATATAATATAATATAATATAATATGCCATTTAGCAGACGCTTTTATCCAAAGCGACTTACAGTCATGCGTGCATACATATTTTTTTTTTGTGTGTATGGGTGGTCCCGGGGATCGAACCCACTACCTTGGCGTTACAAGCGCCGTGCTCTACCAGCTGAGCTACAGGTGACCAAATACTTATTTTCCACCATAATTTGCAAATACATTCATAAAAAATCCTACAATGTGATTTTCTGGAAAAAAAATTCTCAATTTGTCTGTCATAGTTGACGTGTACCTATGATGAAAATTACAGGCCTCTCTCATCTTTTTAAGTGGGAGAACTTGCACAATTGGTGGCTGACTAAATACTTTTTTCCCCACTGTATCTTTTAGACTTTTAGTCTGAAAATCATTGGTTGTTTACTGCTCTTCTTTACTCACTCTGTTTAGCACATGGCCTCACATGTGAATCCTTAAAGTGATGGGTGGGGTTAAGGCTTAAAAGGGTGTGAAATATGCTGAATAGGTGTAGACAAAGAAGAGCTCTCCAGTAGGTGTACCAAAACATTCAAGGGCCATTTTCTAAAAAGTGGGGTTACAAGTTTATTAACTTTCAAAGCAAAATTACTTTCCCATTGTTCCTCAACTGCAGTGTACGATATACCATTTTGTAGCTCTGAGTCTCTACTTTTATCCAACATAAGACCGGTCACAAATATGATGCTGCAGGGACAGAGGGGGACAAAGGAGAGAGGGTGCGTCTGTGGGGGACAGAGGAGAGAGAGAGGCACAGAGGGGGACAGAGGAGAGAGGGGTGTGTCTATGGGGGACAGAGGAGAGAGGGGTGCATCTGTGGGGGACAGAGGAAAGAGGGGCACAGAGGGGGACAGAGGAGAGAGGGGTGTGTCTTTGGGGGACAGAGGAAAGAGGGGCACAGAGGGGGACAGAGGAGAGAGGGGGGTGTCTGTGGGGGACAGAGGAAAGAGGGGCACAGAGGGGGACAGAGGAGAGAGGGGTGTGTCTGTGGGGGACAGAGGAAAGAGGGGCACAGAGGGGGACAGAGGAGAGAGGGGGGTGTCTGTGGGGGACAGAGGAGAGAGGGGCACAGAGGGGGACAGAGGAGAGAGGGGGGTGTCTGTGGGGGACAGAGGAGAGAAGGGCACAGAGGGGGACAGAGGAGAGAGGGGGGTGTCTGTGGGGGACAGAGGAGAGAGGGGTGTGTCTGTGGGGGACAGAGGAGAGAAGGGCACAGAGGGGGACAGAGGAGAGAGGGGGGTGTATGTGGGGGACAGAGGAGAGAGGGACACAGAGGGGGACAGAGGAGAGAGGGGAGTGTCTGTGGGGGACAGAGGAGAGAGGGACACAGAGGGGGACAGAGGAGAGAAGGGCACAGAGGGGGACAGAGGAGAGAGGGGTGTGTCTGTGGGGGACAGAGGAGAGAAGGGCACAGAGGGGGACAGAAGAGAGAGGGGGACAGGGGAGAGAGGGGGTGTCTGTGGGGGTTTGTTTTTGTGGGTTACCTTAAACTCGTAGGACTCCTCTATCACCACCTCCAGCTTGGTGTGTTCTCCCAGGCTGGGACAGCCCATCTTGGACACCTCCTCCTCATCATTGGCTGGCTTGTTCTCATTGGAGTCTCCTGTGAAGCAGAGAGGAACACTTCAATGTCAAATATCATACCCCCCCAAAAAAATGCTAACCTCTCTTGTTATTATAATGGTGAGAGGTTAGCATGTCTTGGGGGTATGATATTTGTGCATCTAACTTTCTCACTCATCATTATTCACGATTCATTCAGGATTATCCGTAGTCATGGTAGCATCCACATTAATGTAGAAGTGTTTCTTATTTACAATAAAAGTGACTCCAAAATGGCACAATACATTATTTACCACCCATTTCTATTGGGCACAAAATAATCTGAAACACAACGAAAACAAACAGTAAATGCATACCCACAAATTTGCAGAGTCACAAGCTTGATGTAGTCATTGCTTGCTATGAATATGGGACCAAATACTTAACTTTCTACTACTTTAATATAGTGCATTTGTCCCAATACTTTTGGTCCCCTAAAATGGAGGGACTATGTACCAAAAGGGATGTAATTTCTAAACGGTTCACCAGATGTGGATGGCAATATCCTCAAATTAAAGCTGACAGTCTGCTCTTGAACCTCATAGTCATTGTGTCATTTCAAATCCAACATGCTGGCTGGATTACAGAGCCAAAAAAATTATAATAATGTCACTGTCCCAATACTTTTGGAGCTCACTGTATACAAAAACGCAATGTAATTTACTTATCAAATTAATGCTCTGTGCATAAACACTATACCTATGTATCAATATACAGAGTTCTGTGAGGGGGGATTATTTTAAAAAAAAGTTATCGTGGGTATCAGCGTTGCAGGAATCATTTAAATGCACCAACAACATTACATTAGTGTAAAAGACTATAATTCATGTGCAGTGAGAAGAATAGCCTGGAGAAACAGCTCCAACATGAACCAACTACTCTCAGTCTTGATGAAATCCCCCCCAAGTCACTAATGCCAATTAATGTGCAGCTATAACCATTAGTACACTCAGGGACATATCCTGGCCATAACATACATTTCGGTGATGTGTTTGTTTTTCAATATGTATTTCTTAATGGGCGTTTATGTTACCAATCCCCACTAATGGGTTTATGAAAGTAACATAATCCCTATATTTGGAATAACATAAATGACAGGTTAAGGATGTCATGTGTTGTGATTCTATGTGCCGCAACCTCATCACTTACAACAACATGGATCTGCCAGGGGCAACAACAAAAAACTACAGCACTACCAGAATTATCATTCTATCCTTCATATACAGCTGTTGTGTTTTTCCAATAACTGATCGTGTGAAACAGAACATTTAAGACTGTTAAATATGACAGTGATAACATGAGGCTGCTAAATGGCAGCTTTGCACCCGCAGGGCTCTGCACTGACCATGTTTCCGTCCGATCTCCAGCAGCACAGGCTCGCCCAGCTGGATGATGAAGGTCTTGTTCTTCTCATACTCCTCATCATCAATGACCTTCACCTCCAACAGCTTCCTGCAGATGGGGACAGACAGGGAAAAACATACATGTTGGGTCAGAGACATAGAACCAGACAGCTCTTCAGAAGGATACAGAGATGGGGACATAGAATGGAGAAGCTCTTCAGAAGGAGAGAGAGATGGGGACAGAGAATGGAGAAGCTCTTCAGAAGGAGAGAGTGATGGGGAAAGAGAAGGGTGAAGAGACAGAGGTGAGGAAGGGCAAAGAAATAGATTAGGGGTGATGAATAGCAGCATGGAGAGAAAACAGCTTGCTATCTCTTTATTTTCTTCCATTGGCTGGATGAGAACGTGAGAGTGATAGAAAGAGGAGAGCAGGGTGGGCGGCACAGATGTCCAGGATGCTGGTAATTAGGGTTAATGAATAATGAAGAAAGGCACCAAGGCAGACAGGGACAGAGACACTTCTGGGAACAAACAATTAAGCGGTTAAGCCATATGCATTACGGCCACGATGCACAAACACACACATGCGAATGCACACACGCACACAACCCCTAATTTTCCTCTAACCTTATCACTAGCTACCTTTTTAATTAATGTGTCTGTCTATGAGTTATCACTTAAATGCAATTCATTATCTTATGGTCCTTTCCATCTTGCCCTGCAACCCAAACTCGATGCTTAAGCCCTCACAGAGTTCACTTTAATTACATTTAATAGGAAATCTTGTATTGGATGGCACAGTGTTAATCACATGATTTCTCCCCACCCCTCACTGCTCCCTCCCCCCCATCTCTCTGTTCTCTTGACTAGATTCCAGTGACCCAGAAAGCCTGTCCAAGTGGTGCCTCATATCAGTGTAAATGTGTCTAAAGCAGCCTTGTCGCTCGCTGGACTATTCCCATGGGTGGCTGAACTCTAAGCTCCACGGCAGCCAAACACTTCCAAGCCAAACAGACAGCGGTGGACAGCTATCAGAGAGGCCTATCAGCCCATGTTAAGACTGCAGGGCTGGCTCCAGCAGATGGGCCAAGCCACACAGTGTAGAGATAAGAATAGTCCCGGATCCACTGTGCTCCTATGCCCAGCAGACCTCTGCCTCACACAAACAGACACCCTCTGGCAGACAGGCTCTGGTACACACAGATGAGTGGAGAGGAACCCAGGTGTCAACTCCCCCTGCCTACACAGTCCCCACGCAGACTGACGGGCCGTCCCGGAAGACAGGAAAAGGTGCACACGGCCTGATTGAGACGGATGATGAGAACAGGAGGAAGGAGGAGGAAACGTGAGCGAGCAGGAAAACTGCATTTGTGCATTTATCTCTTTAAGCACGAGGCCTTACATTTACATTTTAGTCATTTAGCAGACGCTCTTATCCAGAGCGACTTACAGGAGCAATTAGGGTTAAGTGCCTTGCTCAAGGGCACATCGACAGATTTTTCACCTAGTCGGCTCGGGGATTAGAACCAGCGACCTTTCGGTTACTGGCACAATGCTCTTAACCACTAAGCTACCTGCCGCCCTAACACAGTGGCCTTCAGGTATTGCATGGCACTGTTACTCACTGGAGCAAAAACTCAAAACAAACACACACACACACACACACACACACACACACACACACACAGTAAGTAGACTGAAAATAACCACTCCACACACATACAAATTGACTTACTCCCCTGGGTACACCCCAACAGCACGCTCGCATCGAGCAGTGCAGTGAATGAAATACCAAGTATGAGACCTTGCATAGTGTCTAACGAACCTACTGTTTTGAATGTTGATAGCTACATAATATTATTCCATTAATTGGGAGTGTGAAATATATGTTGAGTTGAATTTTAATGTGCATGCAGATAGTAGCCCATGCTAGACTGTGTGAAAAAGTGCAGCTACAGATTGAATTACGTTCTATTTCTTCAGCAGAGACTAGGGGTGTAACGATCCATCTACTACATCGATGTATCGATTTATATTCCTATGATCCAACTACATCGATCTGTGCTCGGCGAGTTGGCCTTTTGGACAACATATATCGATCTAACATCGTTTTAAAATGTAATAAATCGATTGTATCGATACTAGGAAATAACCCATTGGATTTAAGCACGTCAGACTTTATATGGATGTTTTTTCTTAGCACTTTTAATGATAAAGGCTTTAAACATTACTCGATTCAGTCTGCCTATCCGTGACGTCATCGCGCCAGCAGCAGCGCAAAGGCGCCAAGACAACAAAACATAGCATGGCGGACGACAGAGGAGAAGCCGACGAGCGAGAAATTATCAAGCCACCATTGCGGTCCTTACAAGAAACAGGAATCTAGGAAACTTCACCTGCACTGTCCAGTATCCAGGTATTTATTTCAGTCACACTGGTTGAATTTTTGGCTAAAAGGTTACTGAATCGATTTCAAGTCACTGAATCGTTTCGGATCGTATCGTTCTAAATGAACCAATATCGTCCTTGAATCGTATCGACAACCACGAATCGTGATACAAATCGAATCGTTGTTAAAACGAATCGTTACACCCCTAGCAGAGACGCTATTTGTTTTTATAAAACTAAAAGTTCATTTATGTTCATTTAGAGTCTGGCCTCTTCCCGGGTCTGTACGCCTGCGACACATCAACCAATTAGAGAACAAACTCTCCCATTGCATTTGATTGCAGCCATCATGATTGTGGTAGTTACAAGATAATGTGCCCGAATAAATAGAAATGGATTGGGTGGGATCACAACATTTGTTGAACAGACATTTTCCAAATGTCCAATACATTACAGATGAGTGTGTGGGTAGGGGCCCTGAATTGCTTGGGGCCCTCCAGCTTTGCGTGGGTTGCAGTTGGCCTCTGGTACACCAGTATATGGGAGGGGAACACTGAAAATGAATTACAGACTGACCAGGATGCCTTTCTCTCCGGTGAGAGAACATGGACAGATAAAACATAAGGCAAACATAAATGAGGTGTAGAATATTAACGTCAACACTAACACATTAGCACGGTCAAATTATGGTTTTGCATGCGCAGCTGTGGGTGAAGTGTATGAAACACAAATTCATGGTGTTGGCATGGCAACAGGTGGCAATAGTGTATGTTCTGTTAAAAAGTCATGGACTTCGCAAAGATAGCTGTAGTCAGAGCGTGGAAGAGGTAGAGGAAGCAGGAGAGACTAGTAAAATAAAAAAAAGTATCCTCGTATTTCGCTCTATGTTTCTGTTGTAATCCATCTCATATCTTTTAAATGGTATAGGAGAGAAGTGCTTCAATTTCAATTTCAAGTTTTAATATCATGTGCACAGGTACAGTGAAATGCCTGTCTTGCTAGTTGTAAATCCAACAATGTAGTAATCAGTGTCAATATAGTTAAACATAACATAAGGTAGAACAAAAATAAGAAATAACAAGAACACAAGAAGTAAGTAAGCTACAGTATATAGAGGGTCAGTTCCAATACCATATTATGGCTATTAATATCAGTCTATGGCTTGGGTAGCTGGAGTCTATAACAATTTTCCGGGCCTTCCTTTCACACCGCCTGATATAGAGGTCCTGGATGGCAGGGAGCTCGGCCCCCAGTGATGTACTGGGATGTCCGCACCATCCTCAGCAGCGCCATGCGATCGAGGGCGGTGCTGTTGCCATACCAAGCAGTGATGCAGCCAGTCAAAATGCTCTCAATGTTGAAGCTGTATAACTTTTTGAGGATTTGAGTACCCATGCTAAACCTTTTCAACCTCCTTAGTGATTTGGACACCGAGGAACTTGAAGCTCTCGACCTGCTCCACTGCAGCCCTGCCGATGTGGATGGGGGCGTGCTCGCCCCCCTGTTTCCTGTAGTCCAGTGGTCACCAACCAGTCAATCGTGATCCTAGTCGATCACCAAACATTTCTGTAGCAAAGCCAACAAAGTTTTGCACTTTTTTTATTGGTGTTGCGCTGTTGGCACTTAATTCAGAAGCCCTGTGCACCATGTAGGCAAAGTGTTACCATTTTGAACTATTTCATTTGTCTAAAAAGACAAACTGCCTACCCGGTGGACCCTGTGGCTAAATCATGTGCGCCTACATTCAAAGACTTGTCCCCAAGCCACTCCTGCGTTGTCTTGGCTGTGTGCTTAGGGTCATTGTCCTGTTGGAAGGTGAACCTTCGCCCCAGTCTGAGGTCCTGAGCGCTCTGGAGCAGGTTTTCATCAAGGATCTCTCTGTACTTTGCTCCGCTCATCTTTTCTCGATCCTGACTAGTCTCCCAGTCCCTGCCACTGAAAAACATCCCCACAGCATGATGCTGCCACCACTATGCTTCACCGTAGGGATGGTGCCAGGGTTCCTCCAGACGTGACGCTTGGCATTCAGGCCAGAGTTCAATCTTGGTTTCATCAGACCAGAGAATCTCATGGTCTGAGAGTCTTTTGGTGCCTTTTGGCAAACTCCAAGCGTGCAGTCATGTGCCTTTTACTGAGGAGTGGCTTCCGTCTGGCCCCTCTACCATAAAGGCCTGATTTGTGGTGTGCTGCAGAGATGGTTGTCCTTCTGGAATGTTCTCCCATCTCCACAGAGGAACTCTGGAGCTCTGTCAGAGTGACCATCGGGTTCTTGGTCACCTCCCTGACCAAGGCCCTTCTCCCCTGATTGCTCAGTTTGGTCGGGCGGCCAGCTCTAGGAAGTCTTGGTGGTTCCAAACTTCTTCCATTTAAGAATGATGGAGGCCATTATGTTCTTGGGGACCTTCAATGCTGCCCTTCCCCAGATCTGTCTCAGAGCTCTACGGACAATTCCTTCGACTTCATGGCTTGGTTTTTGCTCTGACATGCACTGTCAACTGTGGGACCTTATATAGACAGGTGTGTGCCTTTCCAAATCATGTCCAATCAATTGAATTTACCACAGGTGGAATCCAATCAAGTTGTGGAAACTTCTCAAGGATGATCAATGGAAACAGGATGCACCTGAACTCAATTTCGAGTCTCATAGCAAAGGGTCTGAATACTTATGTAAATAAGGTACTTCTGTTTTTTTATACATTTGCCAAAAAAGTCTAAAAACCTGTTTTTGATATTGGGGTGGTGCTGTAGATGATGAATATGAAGTATATATATTTTTTTATGTCCCTTTAAGACATGTGGGGATTACAGACTGGGACAATGAGAGGTTGAAAATGACTGTGAATATGCCTGCCAGCTGTTCTGCTCATGCTCTGAGAGCACACCCTGGAATACCGTCTGGCCCCACGGCCTTGTGAGTGTTGACCTGATTAAAGACCTTACTCACATCGGCCTCGGAGAGCGAGATCACCCAGTCCTCTAGGTCAGTGTGGGCCCTCACGCATGGCACAGTGTTGTTATTGTCGAAAGCGTGCATAAAATCCATTGAGTTTGTCTGGTAGAGAGCCATCAT